CATGTGAATATAGATACATAGATAACAACGAAATTTATATATTCAATGCGTCAAGGAAAGAATATATTCTCTACCACGTTCTCGCCAGTTGTAACACCAATATTGCCACTAGATGTTAATTAATTGATTGAATAAATGTGAAACTAGACATTAAACCACAACTAAACTGAAGGGTTCATTTTGTCAATGAAGCAAGTTGAGCTTAGCTATCAACAAGGCTGTTATGTTGATCAAAATACCTACTTTGTATGGTCGCCATTTCAATGAAAAGTATAACATTATAAAAGTATTAATAATATTATTTAACTCGGAACTCTCACTTGGATGTCAGCGTCGTATTAAACCAATACTGTATAGTGAAAAGGTGTTCAAATGTCAAATCTGACATGTACCATATTCATCTGTTCGCCGTGATGCTAAACCGGGAATTTGTCTGGACTTTATTTCACAAAGTTTGAAATTGAAATACAAGTACACTCTATTAGGCGTTGTTTATTTATGTTTTATAATAACTTCCAACCAAGTCTAACTATTGTACAGTACTGACTTTTCCTTTAATACTGTTTACACACGCCAGGCCTAACCTAAAAGATCATTGCTTTCGTTCCCGTGCGTAGTCGGGTTTCTTGGTGGTTATTTTCAATAATTAATACCTTTTAAATAGTTTACTTCGTATACAATGAGACTAACGGAGGAAATTTCAATTCAAAGTATAGGCCAATACTGAATCGGGTTTACCCATACTTCCCTTTTAAACAGTTAAAATATTTGATTTTTCCCCTTGGCGATATGTTTTGTTAAACCTAAAACTAGTTAGTGTCGAACTAAACTAAAATGTGGAGGCAAACATAAAGCTGTTTTTAGAAGCTAACACTGTAGGCTACTGCTTTATTGCTGATTTAACAAATGACATATAGAGTATTTATCGGTTCCACTTGAGAGATGTGTGTATGGGCGGCGCGGCGCGGCGGTAGGGTGGGAGATGCGCGGCGTCACGACGCGGCGACGGCGACGATCGATCGATCAGTCTACAGTGTCTGTGTCTACTGTAGTGTATGATAGTGTTGAGTGAGCAAGAGTGACGAGTGTCAGTGACAGTGGCGGGGTCATGGTACACTCTGCCGTCGGCCCCGGGCCCATGTTGCACCGCCCGGATAACATCTTAGGCATACCCAAGAGTCCTAGCTTCTTGAGCGGTCTGGACCTCGTGTCCAGCGGGCCGCATCCGACCATGTATCAGGGGTTGCCTGTCCAGCTACCCTCCCTGCTAGGTACTTCAAACTTGACTAGTAATTTTCGCAGTAATTCGGTCATATTATTAAACATTGCATTCGTGTAAAACTGATAAAATATTTACATTATGGGTTTGCATTAACAAGTGTATGATTTCTTGGATGCGTAAAACGCATAGTAGGCTATTTATTTATGCTTGGACTCAGTGTAGGGTAAATTGACCATATTTTTCGGAAAATATCTGCGATGCTTTTGAAGAATTACTAGGTACTCCCCTCCCCAACTAATCTCATCTGGCTTTAACACCAAAACTTAATAAATTCAAATATTTTCAAAACTAGATATAGTGTTGCAAAATAACCCAGCTTATAGTTTAACAATAAAAACTAAACACTTTCCAAATGTGATAGCATTGCAATCACAGTTTGTGAATTTTTTATTCAAATTATAATACTTAGCCTATATGAATTGTGAGATTTAAGTCATCAGGTAGTAAAATTTTTCCCATCCCAAACTTAAAACCAAGCGGGAAAGCTGAATGTAGACTCCCTCTTATCCAGGCACCTTTTAAAAGGACACCGGCTTAACCAAACTACACTTGGCAGAAGTGACATCTCTTAAACCGAACGATTGTTGTGAGCCCATTGGTTTAATCGGACTGGATCGGCAAGAAGTGGGCGGTACTGAAACAACTTTTCTCGTGGGAAAAATTTAAGACCAATGATGACGTGTCTAAATACCTTCCAAATTTAAGTTAAATATTTGGATCATTTTTCGAGTGATTCCCGCGGAGTGCTCATGTATCGTTTATACATTTATACAGTGAGTACTCTAAATTGTAGTTGTGAACGTTTTTACTGAACATTTAAGTACAGTATTTAACCACGTGTTGTCTAGTACTGCTGTGTGCATTTGCTTTTCTGTAGTTTTTATGTGATTCCCCATATATTTAGTGTGTTTCTTTTTTAGAATTGTGTAACAAATATAGGTGTACAAAGCAAGTTGTGGCTATTGAACAAAAGCTTAATGCCCTTGAACGTTCCTAATTTAACGAGTTTTAGGGGATGTGGGTTTAAACCGAAAGAACGGTTATCCGGACTGGCCTCAGTCATAAGGAGTTCGGTTAAGCGGGAGTCTACTGTATCCAGGATTTAGCTGTAAAATGTAGAACCAACATCGTAATGGATGGTCCACTTCGTAAAGTTATAGGGGTTTACTGTAGTAAATATGAGTACTAAACAAAAACATTTTGATTTTTATTAATTAATAATTTTCTTTAACATGAAATTAATATGAAAGCAAAATATAGCGTCAAAAATGTCGACATTTTGTAGGTAATATCTTATGTACCTCAACGGGTGCTTTACACATATTTTGAAAGAGTCAATTAATTGTAATCTATGTTATTATTTCCAGGAAAACAGCCAAATATCATGGAACAATACATTGATTAAGTGACAGATTAGGCCTATAACAAGTGTTATTATTATTAATGTAATAATAATATTTTGTGTGTGGTCCTTAACTTGCTGAAAATGTATTTTCTTGTCGGAAATTTCCTACAAATCTGTAGGTCTAGAGTCATTTTGACATTAAGGTTTATATTTCATAAATAGTTTGAAATACTAGAACAAAGTATAATACTACTACATTAAGGCCTACGTAATCTAAATCTAAATGCAAACAAACATATAGCCTGAAACTGTCTTGGTTTTAAGTTGATCCCCAGTAGGAGGTTTTACCTTCAAGCAGTCTAAACACCAAAGTAGGCTTACACCATTATTTAAATTGTATTTTTAATCCAACATGGATTAAATTAAAGCACTATGAATCTTATGTTATGTTAAGCTATTGTGTAATTCATCCCCCTATTTTTAAGATTTGCTGTTATAGATTTTCTGTCATTGTTTTGGAAAATAACTACTGAAAAGTTTTCAATAAGTGAGTGAATTTTTCTTGTACAAATCTACTAAGTAGAGTTTGTTCTCTGATTTATTACTTTTGCTAGAATGTAGCTCCTTGTTGATTCACTCAGGGTAAAAGTAGTTATATGTCATTTTGCTACCTGAACCCAAATTGATAGTGACACTTTCAAAAGCTAATTGAAGTATCTACCCATAGATATGTTTAGATGGGCAGTTGCTCAAGTTCAGTATTGTTTAGGTCATCACTAACTTGATGATAATGATAACCTTATTTTGCAATTTCCATTCCAAAGTAAACCTTTACTATTGTGTTTGTTAGTAAAACGATTACAATGTGTTTGTTTATGTATTTATTGATTTCATGTTGTTTTCATTTGTATATGGTTAAAACAACTTTGTAGAATTCAGGGCACATTTAAACCTAGGGTTGTAAACTCTAAAATAAGGGGTTCAAAACAATAAAACATTAGCATAGGAATAACAGTTATTGAAGGATAAGCTGTTTAGACAACCATAATATACAAAATTGTATTGCTATAGAAAGATAAAAAAACTAGATACATATCTGTTAGTTACATAATGGAGGATTTATTACAGTCGAATATTGGAATGTTTGTCTGAAGCCATAATGGTATTAACACCAATGAAAACCAAACAGTCTTGTATTTTCAATTGATATGCGCTTGTCATATAAGCCGTAACAAAACATCTGTTAACAAAAACTAAAGTTACTCCAGTTAAAAGTTATGTGGTTATCTATTAATTGAGCTTTGAATTTTATCCATGCGGGGAAATGGTAAATAGTATATTTCGTTCCTCGGCCCGAAAATGAGGTTTTGCTGGTTCAAGAGCTGCAAAACCATTTCGGTCCGTGGTACGAGCGCTATTTTTCACCACACTATACCCTATTACCACTATTCACCACAATAATGGACACTTACAGTCAACACAACTACAACTTTAAGGTTATGTGACAAAATAATTTGAGGATCAGCAAAAATAATAATAAATAGTTGCAAAGCAGCGGTGACAATAGAACAAGTCTATTGCATGGATACTGATTGTGTATTTAATATGCATTAATGTTTTATACTAACCACTTAAATAAATGAACTGAAAATACATCTTGCAAATTATTTAATTCTTTTGCATTAGTTGTTTAGCTATGTGTTAATGTAACAAAGAACATCAAGTCAAGAAAGAATGCTCTAAATTAAAAATGTTAAGGGAAAAATTACTTTATCGACGAGACAAAGTTAGTACTGTACTAAGTACTAGCAAGTCCTTTCAACCCAAACAAAATAAACAGTTCCATTTAAGTATTTCAAATAAACAGGTGAAATATAGTTTTTAAGTATATTTGGCTTATTCTAATCCTTTCCTGTAGCATATTGACTGAAATTCATTGTATATTTCACTATTTGTAATTCTTGTCGTTATTTGCATTAATCTGCCAGATGGATCCATGTACCTCTAGACGTAACATCGTCTATGTGACGTAATATGGTCTAATCAAACTAACCCATTAGTCGTACCATTGCACCACCTTCCCTACTGCTACGACCATCAACTAACATACTTTGTACCTAGTCGTCGTCCTACCTCTGTAAAATGATTAAAGTGTTTCATTTAATAACCATACCTTCGTTTGCACTTCCATCATACCCACACCTGCTCTAACCTGTCTGCCCTAAACCTATCACGGTTTACTAGGTTGTTACTGGAGAAAATACCACATTGTACCTGCAAATACACACATTGTTGGCAACTTTCAAAAAATGTATTATTGTAGTTAATTTACTTTTATAATTTGTTCATCAAATTTTTTAATATTGTTTACAGATGCATCTTCTGCAGACAGAGAAGAGCTGTTTGTTCAGAAGATTCGGCAATGCTGTGTCTTGTTTGACTTTGTGTCAGACCCTTTGTCAGATCTTAAATGGAAGGAGGTGAAACGTGCTGCACTCCATGAGATGGTCGAGTATGTCACTACTCAGAGAGGTGTCATTACTGAGGCCATCTACCCTGAGGCAGTCAACATGGTGAGCTGAGACTAAATATACACCCATGTAAAGTGAAGGAAACTAAAAGACGTCAATAGTCTTTTCAAAGAAGTTAATCTATATATTAAGAAATATTGATTTTTTTCTGAGTCGGTTCGGCTTTTCTACACGACCGATTTTCATAATTTTGGTCTTAAATTATAGGTATGCACGCACAGATTTGCCATCAAGCATCAGTAATCATTTATCTGACGTGTATTTCTAGTTATGTACAAAAGCAACTTCGTCCCTGTACATTTGGTATGGGAGTTAAATTTGGTTTTTCTTTCCCGAGTTCGTTTAGCTCTTCTACCCTACCGATTTTTCTCGATCAAAAATATAAATTTCATTTTTTCCAATTTTTACTTCAATTAAAGATGTATTTCACCAGTTCTAATTACATTATCTTGTTTTGGTCTAAGAACCTTCAGTGAAATACCGGCTTTCATTTGAGCTATTGTTTATTAAGATCGTACATACCTGAAGCACGCTGCTGAATCACGAATCTTAAATAATTTTAATTATTTAAGGACTTATCTGCAATCAATGATACGTAACTCCATTTTTATTTAAGTTATTTTATATGTCTTGGTCTTAAAACACTCCTAGAAATAAAGGCTTTCATTTTAGATATTGATCGTTTGAATCAGTTTAGTTCAAGGGTACTGTATTACTCAATCAAAAAACACATTTCAATGCTGTGGTGCAGCACAGGGCCCTCTAGTCTATATATTAAAAACTATTGGTTTTTCTTTTCCGAGTCAGCTCAACCTTTCTAATGGTTCCGTAAATATTGTGTCTTAATTACGTGTTAATGGTTATGTTCATTGACGAGAGGTAGTGAATATCCGAGATTGTGCTGAATATGGAGTAAAAATATGAGTGTTTGTGAAAATATTCTAGACTTTCAAAATAAAAAAATAGTGACAGTAGTTGGTCTATAATGTTCTACAGTAGAGAAGGAATATTTCAAATGTTTCTAGATTTAATGGTACCAAGATTTTGGTACGTATGTCTATGAAACAGAAAAAAACTGATTCGATAACCATTATTGTACATCATATTTGTACCTGGGCACAGCCGGGTTTTGCAGCTAGTTTAGTGTTATGTGTTAATGTGTTTCCAAGGGGATTTGAAAAGTGCACTTGTAATTTATGTTGTCGTGTTATTGAGGTTCTACTGTTGTAGATTACACAAAATATTTATCTAGACGTTATATTAACAATTTTCAAATGAAAATATAAGGCTAGATTAATTATTTTTTATATAGGCCCGATTGAACTTGGCCAAGCAAAAAGTTATAATTAAAAATTATTTAAATGTAAAATATAATAAAAACAATGATTTAAAATACTTGAGATTTCAAGAAATTAATAGAAAATGTAACTTTGTGTCTACAAAGTCTTGTTGACAACAATATAATGGCCCCAAGTGAAGTGACCTGAACATGGTTGAGTCAAGTGTACTTCTTCATAAAGAGATTTCTCTGTTGTAGGAAAGGGCTGAAATCAATACCCTCATTGAACAACCCATTAAGTCCTTCATCCCTTATGGTGATTGTCTTTATTGTTCTTTAAGTTGCATCTTATCTATGGAACCATTTGTTCTTATTGTAATAAATGTGATATAAGAAATAGTGCAACATGTTTACATAGCCGATAAAGTATGTTATAGTTCTGTCCTTTCTTACAATTAACTCAGAATTAACTTACGATTAATTTAGAATATTACAGCTGATAATAAAAGATTCGGTTGGTTATTATTTTCTTTCAAACTATTTACAACTTACATTACTGTAATGGATCATTTACCAAAAAAGTTTAAAGTAAAAAAATGTACTGTATAAAATTTTTTGTGAACAAGAGGGTATTTGCTGACCTAACCTCCTTCTGATGGACACTGCTAATTTTATGGTTGGCCTAAGAAAATCCAGACTTCATTAACAATTTGAATAAGCCTATACCAAAGCGGTTGTTATTATTATTGACCTGTATTAAATAAGATTGAGTTTATTTGGCATAGGCGTATGATGTAACTTTATTTCCACTTGTGTATTGTTGACTAACGGACCAAATTGATGCATTGGTATTTCGATGCATTGTGAATTGAATCGCGAATCGAAATTTTGATGCATTGCACACCATTACAAACAAGAGGAAATAGGTCAAACAACATGAATGAGATATTATTTTTTTCAGTTTGCTGTAAATCTTTTCCGCACTTTGCCTCCTTCAAGCAATCCGAATGGAGCAGAATTTGATCCTGAAGAAGATGAACCTACATTAGAAGCTGCTTGGCCACATTTACAACTAGTGTACGAGTTTTTCTTAAGGTAACCAAACAAAAATATTTTTTATGCTTTCAATCACTGGCTTGACTCATGAACAGGGATAGCGGAGCAGACAAGTTAAAGTATTTATTTGAGATTTTATTTTATTTTTTTCTGAAGTTATCCACAAATGTTGAAGACTAAGTAATTGGAAGATTTCAATATCTACATATTATTTTCTCCATTGTTCTGCAAATCTCAGTTGACTCTAGAAGCCTTTACCACTTCCACTTAAGTTGTCGATTCTAATTATTTTAATACAGGTGCTTTACAATACTAAAATTTTCTTATATGGCTCTTAAACTTAACCCTTCGCGGATAGGTAATGGATATATCCGTCTAAGTGTCTGGCAATAAAGGACAGGTGGATATATCCACACATGACTTGTTATATTCTAGACGGGATATGGATATATCCGCCTTACCTTCAGACAGCCTGGCTGATGGTTTTGCAGTAACCAGATGTCTCTGGCTACCACGGCACTACTTCCCCTCGCTCTCCGCAACCGCTGCGACCTTGAAAGCGACACGGCGGCCGCCCTCTCCTGTGCACCCCCACGATGTTGCGCGCGCAACTTGTTAGGCACAAGTAAACCTAATGGTTTACTTTGTTGGCTCTAAATGATACAGTTGTTTGTCTAGCAGCATGTAATAGTATTAACATATTGTCCCTTATTTGTTGCCTATCCTTGTCACGGCCATATTTTCAAAGAGGGTCGCTGGATATATCCTCAGTTTGATGCTCATCCGTGGACGGGTGGTGGATATATCCGCACCATTTTTTGCGCGCATAAAAACAAGTAAAAAATTATTTAGATAGTATGAGATGTTCCATGTGTTTATTTGTATAATTTTTGTCCGTCCGAGGCCATAAAAGTTGCCCGTCCAGGAAGGGTTGAGAATAAATTCAAGTGATTTAGTTTCTTGCAACTTAACCTCTGATTTGTATGGGAGCCACAAATCACAGATGAATATTTTTTGAATATTTTGAGATTTGTATGGGGTTATTGATCAAAGTCCAAGTCTCAACTAGTCTTTTAATGACCATAGAACAGTCATGGATATTTATTAATAGTATATTTGCATCAGTGACAACTGTTCTTGCGACATTATGAAACACTAATTTTCTCTTGTGATTTATGACAAATTTGTAGCATAATACTTTTTTGATTATTTTGAACATTCCTTTACATTATAAGACACTTATAATTTAGTTTTTGACATCATGAGATGTTTATAAAATCTTGGTTTTTAGGATACTAAGATACTATTTGATTGTCTTTGACATTATGAAGTCCCTCGATGAGAATCATTGAGTATTGTGTAATCAATCTTCTGTTTCTTTATATGACTACACCAAAGTGATCATAACACAAAAATTTAGAGTAGACCGTGAAGACTACATTGAAAGTTACTCTTTACTACAGGAAATCTTCTTCAAGAGAATGTTTTGCTTTTTATTTTAACAAATTAAAAGAGATCTTGTTTTTTAAAGACTTAATTTTGAGTTTTTAATGATTGCTAGGAACATATTTTACCTTTCCCATACACCATATTAATTTGAATAATATAAACTACTGTATATATAAAACATGTTAAACATTAAACATTTTTGAAAACCGTGTAATTTTCAGGTTCTTGGAGTCTCCTGATTTTCAACCTAATGCTGCAAAGAGGTATATTGATCAAAAGTTTGTTCTACAGGTCAGTGAAAAATACACGTATTATTACTGTTATTGTAATTTTTTTTTATATTGGTTCAATGACTAAATTAAACATGGAACACTTTTTAAAAACAACCAAAGAGAGCTATTAGAGTTATGATTGATTAATCGGTGATATGATGGTTCGGTTAGGGACCATTTAAAGAACTGTAAAATACTGCTTTCAGTCAATATGTTTGATACAATATTATATTAGTTAAAATTAAACCCTTAGAGAATGCTAGTTTCCATCACATCCCAACAACGCCAGGAATAAAACTAAGGTCAAATTTTGATAAAAAAAAATCTTTATACATGAGAGAAAGCTAATCACTTTTTACTAGGACAAATTAATAAGAAAAGCAACATACATTATGAAAAAGTTAATTATTTCTTAACTAATCAAACATTTCATTCAATTTAAATTTTTTTAACTTATTTTAAAGAATCCAATTGATTTTTTATTAATTTTTATTAATTGAATTGTGTATTTTCGTTATCAAGAATGTTGGAATTTATGTATTGGTAGATATAGGATGTTGAAGCTATTCATCATAAAATGTGTTGTGCAAGTATGAATAAAGTTGTTCTTAATTGAATTGAGTAATGTATAGGTATGGACAGGTCACAACACTTCAGAAATTTGTTGGGGGAAAACAAGACGGTATTATTGTAATTTGAGGTTTTGTTGGGAGGGGATTTTTTCAACTGTCAGCGATTGATCTACCATAATCGTGGTACATGTTGACGATAGTGCCGCAATGCAGGAAAAGATGATGATATCTCAGTGATTGTGTCAGAAGTTCACGATTTTTCTGCTACAGCAGAAAATGTTAACGCTTTAGTGCTTTGGCGGGTGAGATCCTTGTGATCATGGGAGATAATAATACGGATTTATAGTCAAAATTATATTATATGACTAGTTGCTTTTTCTAATGGTAATCATATCAGTCAGACATGCCTAAAAACCCTCTATTCAGTTTTCAAAAATATGCTGGGAAGTTGGCCTAAATAACTGTTTGCGATTAGCTAGCGGTATTTTTATAATGTGACTTATGTTCTACAGTTAAAATGGACCAAATATGTAACTTTCCTTTGGTGAACGCTGTGGCCGCAAGATATGCTCACGTACGTAGCTGGGATTGTGGGAGATGTATATGGGTATTGCCATCATCATGTGAGATGTTAATGGATGTTATCAAAATTTTGGATGATGTTTGTGGGTTTATCTGTGATTTTGGGGGAAAATCATGATGGCATGTTATTGGGGCTGTAGTGGCACCACTGGACACGTCAGCTTAGTAACATCCTGATTATATAGAGTTTTTTTAAATTATTAATCTTAACTCCAAACAATAAAAATCTTAAGATTTACTATGATTATTTCTTTTTCTAACATTGGTTCTTTGTTCTCTAGCTTCTTGAACTATTTGATTCAGAAGATCCTAGAGAAAGAGATTTTCTGAAAACAACGCTACATAGAATCTATGGAAAGTTTTTGGGCCTTAGAGCTTACATCCGTAAACAAATCAATAATATTTTTTACAGGTGAGGTTTACTTCAATATATTTTTAAGACATAATATGTGTGTTGCATTACTTAAAAGTTTTGCTAGACTAGGCTATGTGCTTTACACTTCAGAATATCAGAGAAATTGATTTTTAGAATTTAGTTTAGTTAGGTATAAGTTACTTGAAGTTAATTTACATTGCAAAAATTATTAGATGTCTTGAGGTTTCTTTCTTTACATCTGGAAATCAAGTTTGTTTTATAGGCAGATGTCTAGTCCTAATATAATTTTAAATAACCACTAAGTTTAAGCCTAGACACTTAGCTTAGAGGTAAGATGATGAGTTGTTCACAGCATGTATATGGTCATCGTGGTCGTGTTGTTGAGGTAGGCCCGAGTCTACGTTGATGTGCTGTCTAGTATCGGTGTCATGGAGTCGTCCTCTAACCCGACATTGACGACCTTCCCCTTGTTTACTTTAAAAATATGACTTCAAACATACCGGCAGAATCGGCCTCCGAGCAAATAAGTTAGATTAAGTCACTATAACACCGTACTAAACTGTCGGCATTAACTGACGTGTAGCATGGGGTTGTTACCCTCCAGTAACTTGTGAATAAATCTTAACCACGACGATTGGCGAAGAAGTTTACAGCAAGATGACCAGTGAAGAAGTGAAGCCGCCTGCCCCTTCCTCTAGTGTGTGCGTCGGTTGCTCAACCCGAGAACTGCCAACACCATGAAAACTGAAAATTTCTGTTTTGGAGCCCAAAAGCGTAACGGCAGTTCTCAAACCACTCCAACTGGCTGCGCAGAATACCGATTTGTGTCTTGAACCGCCCTTTGCCTTCCTCAACAACAAACACAGCTCTCATCTCACCATCCCGGAATATATTACCATTAATCTTTTTTTAAACCATTTGACCCTAATTTATACACCGTGTTACCCAACTGAAACGTACATTATTGAATATAATATTGATAATTTATTTATTTACTATTCCAATAATTAATCATTTGTTTATGATCGATTATTATTATTTATTTACTTATTTATTGGACCCGTTACAATGTATTGACGTGTACTATACAAAATGTTCATTTTGTAATTTGTTGTAATAAATTCTTGGTTCTCGACCAGTAAATTAATCAAAAACTTTTCTTTCAGTTTTATATATGAAACAGAACACCACAACGGAATTGCAGAACTATTAGAAATATTAGGAAGGTAAGTAATAAGTTTTAGAGTATTTAAGTCAGTTCTAATTTTGAATATTGTATCATGATTTTTTTTGTGAAAAATCTACCTATCTTTTGCGGTAAAATTCAGTCATTTAAATAAGCTTTAATAACTCCCAGTTTAAAAATAATTGACAGATAGAGTGGCAGCTGTGAGCATTATAAGCACGATATTCGTGGTCTTGCGTAACGTCATGCGCCTTAGCGTTGCCGGTGCCAGCGCAATGATACCCCCATTAGATTGTGGATTCCAATCACAGCGACCTGTTAGTTAATATCTATCATAGGTTTGTTGCTAATATCATAGTGAATAACAATACGGCATTTGTAATGGTGTTTTACACCATTTACTGCTTTAGGAACTCTTAACATTTTCTTACACAAGTTATCAGCATTAAATGAAGTAGCAGGGAAATATCCATGAATTCTTGAAGTACCGGTGGGAAAATACGGAAATTTTTAAAAACAGAGTTCTGTGGACACCCTGTGTAATTTAATCAATCTTGAACCGGAACTTGATTGTTGTAACGCAAATGGTCTGCAACCAAAATGTAAATTATGATAGTTACATTTTCTAAATATTTAACTTAAAAGAGTGGTAATAGTTTGTGTTTTTTCAGCATCATCAACGGGTTTGCGCTTCCATTGAAAGACGAACACAAGGTGTTCTTGCTGAAAGTTCTTCTACCTCTACACAAGGTCAAGTCCCTCAGTGTGTACCATCCTCAGCTAGCCTACTGTGTTGTGCAGTTTCTTGAGAAAGACCCATCTCTTACTGAGCCCGTCATCAAGTGCCTACTCAAGTTTTGGCCCAAGACTCACTCACCTAAGGAAGTAAGTAACTTGGAATCATATAATAAGATATTGCCATGTTGGTTTAGGGGAGATCTCTTACAATTAATATGTCAAACTATCAACAATAAGGCAACAATTACTAACAATATTGATTAAACAATTGATACATACTTTTATTTATGGATTGGTATTGTTTAAAATAAAAATTTACAACTGAATTGACGACAGCTGCTTTTTACGCCCTAGGGGCTAAAAATGTGTTTTACTCCCTAGATAGTAAAAATGCTATTTTAGACGCAAATCTCATGCATTAAAAACGGTTACTTTTTTTTGTTTTTTGCTGCAGATTACGAAGAAATATTGTATATTCCTGTATGCTTGGTTTCCATTTGTGTCTTGGGGAAAAACTTGAAAATTAAAAAAAGTATCATCTCAAAAAGTTGAGTTTCTTTGCTACAAAAATCTTTGTACGATACCGTACGAGTCCTATAAAAAGAAATGGAAAAATAAGTTGACAATTTTACCAAGTTGTCATCTTCAACCAAGGCGGAGCCCTACGGTTGACAAGGGAGGCGTATCCAACGTTAGGACATAATTCAAAACAAAATATACATGCTGCTTTATCAAATAAAGCCAAAGCACAATCACACGTACAAGTTGGAAGTCGTTAAGTGATAGAAGGTGCCAGTGGGGCGGAGTCCTGAGGCCACGAAAAAGTTTTCCGAATACCCTTGGCCCTTAGTCCCCTAAAATCGTGGTAGGTCTGGGAGCATAATTTAAATGCCGTTTTTGAGCCATTTTGAAAAATCTTTTCCTCCATAAGAATAAGACAGCAGACTTTGATGCCAATGGGGTGCAGCCCTAAGGTTAAAAAAAATCAAATTGTTTGGTCATCTGTTAAGGGGTATAGTACAGGATCAGTTTAGAGGTGTCGTTATCAATATTACCCGTGAAACAAAAACGCATAACTATATAGTAGTATATAGGCCTACATATTAATATAGGTAGATAAGTTAGAAAAATGGAAAATACATTCTGCACGGTATTTTACAAAGGTTAGTGTAGCAAGGAATAAAGGAAACTCGATTTTAAATCACATTTCACATTTTTTGCAGCAAAAAATCCCTTTAATTTAATATCAAACATAGCTTTTTTGAATTAAAAAAAAATCTGGTTTTTTCAATATGACGTCCAAAAAACACATTTTGCATGGTTAGATTATTCTAGACTTTTAGTATGTCAAACAGACACCATCAAGGAACTAAAAAACAAACTCCGTTTTTGTGGGAGTTAGTTCCACGTAAACGTAAGACCCTTTTTTAGCTTATATTTTTATGGTGCCATTTAGCTTGAACATATTTCATTTTCCATTTGTGTACAATCAGATGAATTTTACACCTAGCTGTGATTGATTGATTACTTTTACAGTTTACACTTAATTGTCGCATACAACCCGCAAGGTAAACCAATGGCCTTTTCAATTCCCTTTCTTGTCATATTTGATTTCTCATTTGATGTGACATGTCTTTAGTTTTAAGTTTTTTTTTTTTTTTTTTTTTTTTTTTAAGGAAATAAAATAAAACTAATGTCTTGACTTTTTGGAGAATCATACAGTTGTTGTTTTAGTCCATATGCAATAATCTTCTATGAAACATATCATAAATAGTCTTAACCCGCAAGTGATTGATAATTTCTTAGAAAATATATTAGTCCTGGTTTTTAATATTCTAACAAGTTTCATTTTTTTTAGGTAATGTTTTTAAACGAATTGGAAGAAATTCTCGATGTCATTGAACCAGCGGAATTTCAGAAAGTAATGGAGCCTCTTTTTACCCAACTGGCTAAGTGTGTCTCAAGTCCACACTTTCAAGTAAGCAGTTTAAATATAGGAATGGTTTTGTTTTAATGGTTTCAAATCTGTATAAGGTTTTTGTCCTTGTTAGTTGTCAGAAAATTGAGGTTCAAGTCTACTGTCTCTCCAATCCCCTTCTGGTTTAAATCAAGTTTTATTACCTTGAATGATTTGACTTCCCAAACCTTGTAAACTCTTTATATTTTGAGTTTTCCTTTATATCTCTAGATTCTAGATGAGTTCTTACGCAATTGTTCCTATCTACTCATTCTCCGTGAATCTATTATCATAATGTCATGTAGGCTATTTGTTCCATCACAATACTGGGGTTACTCATTAATAGTTGTAATAATTAATACAAATTGATTTACACCCTACAAAACCCATACTTTTGGAAAATGGTTTTTGTTTTAACAGAAATAGTCCAAGCAAGTTGCTCAGAATGCATGCTGGGAAATGATCTCCTGTTTTCTTATTATTGTGAAGATTAAAACTCACACCTTACACTGTTTTATATAATTGCTCATGTTTTTCTAATTAGTTATTGGTCACAAGACTGACCAATGCTGGTTAACCATAACCATACACAAGCTATTATAACATGGTAAGTCAAGAAATGAAGTATGTGTTTGAGAAACTAATCAACATTTTATATTATCACTATTGATTGTTTTCAAGTGTAACTAACCTAGTTGTGGTGATTGAAGTTACAATACACTACAGCATTATAATGAATAATGCTTTGTTAGGTTGCTGAGAGAGCTCTCTACTATTGGAACAACGAGTACATCATGTCCCTCATCAGTGACAATGCTGCTGTTATACTGCCTATCATGTTCCCATCTCTGTACAGAAACTCCAAGTCTCACTGGAACAAGTAAGATTTTCTAAAACATTTGATCTATTTTTTAACCCTAGAACTGCCGGTCAGTAATTTGATAGCCAATCAGGGTTCTTTCTTTAGTGCCATCAGTCAAAAAATGACCGATCCAGTATTTTACATGTTCAAGCTTAACCAACGGATTGACTCACAATAAGCATGGCGAAGACCCAACATATGCTAAATTATACAAGCAACCAACTTTTGAAACTAGATGTTGTGAAGTTTGACTAGGCCAGAAAAGAAAAGTATGGCCAAAAAATTACTAGCTATCCAAGTTGTCAGATACAGATATCCAAACCGAGCCGAATCCGACATGATTTTTCTGATATCCTAACTATTACTAAGCAGATATGCACACTATTTTTATGAAATCTCTGTGTTTGATGTTTATAATTTCGCCGGTATGACGGGCGATAATGGGGGTGTGTCCACAGTCTTGGGAGATTTTTACGCTCTTGATGCTATGGCAAGTGACGAAAATGTCTGCAGTCACGAGAGTTGTTCACAATTTTGTAACTATGGTTAGTGACGATGATGATATATCCGTGACCGCGAGAGATAACAACGATGATGCCACAATTACAGACTTAAGTCTTCATGGGACGTGACAATTACACATTGCAAAATCCAATTTCACTAAAGCTAATACTGTACAACCTCAGGGCTGTCCAAAGGGGGCTGCCCTGGGCGCCGTGGCTGATGGGGCGCCGCACAGCGGCTATTTGTATTGACATAGTATTAAAATATGCGAATGCGACTATTACTGCTGGGGGGGGAGGGGGCGCCACGACCACGTTTGCTCCGGGCACCGCCAACCCTAGATACGGCCCTGTACAACCTTGTTAAGTCGGACCAGTTCGGACCACGTCCAATCCGAAATAAAGAAATTCTGTGTAAGTTTGGAGCAGAAAACTTAAATACAATGACCTTATATTTATAAACATTCCCTTCATCGTGGATAAATACATAAAAAAAATATTTTCACCATACTGCAGAAAAAACTGCCGTTTGTAATACATGGGCTACGGGTCTAAAGTAGCATTTTTACTCTCTGGGTGGGGAGTAAAAATCATTTTTAGTCTCTAGGGAGTCAAAACAGCTGTTGTAAATTTCAATTGTGGCAATCGTATTTATCAAAATTATTTATGGATTGATTTATTAGGTAAGATGTTAGCCTATTGTTGTCGATCGCTCGACCTATCGATGGTATAATGTACTGTAACACAATCGTAATAGACCAAATTATTGAATCACTTAGTCTACTAAGCAGCTGCTTATTTGCATTAGCAGAATTGAAAACAAGCTGGAAGTCGTTTTGAGAGATTATCTTTACATAAAAATTATTTCGTTTTCTAGCTTAGTTTGCTAATTAATGATTCAATATGACGAAAAATACTATTATGTTGTTGTGGTTTACACACCAGAACAACAAAAAAACTATTTAACAATTTACCAGAATGGGCACGTTGTTTGATGATCCCATGGGTTATAAAATAGGAGATTTACTTATAAAACAAATAAGGAATATGTTTTAATAGGTTAACTAGGGTTCCAAATTAATAGTTTAATTTTAACATGATTGTTTTATTTAGACTTATCCTAAATGTGATTCAGTATAAAAACTAACCTCTTAACAGACGTATAATTATGCTCTAGACTCAATAATTTCTAAAGTCAATTAATTGGTAGAGGAAACATTACGTCAAATATAGGCCAATAAACTAGATTAACTATGATATTATGGAAATCTTACTTATGTAGGCCTCAAATTAAACACCCCGAGCAATGCTCGATTCCCTGGTACTGGAAATTGATCATCAAGCATACACAAATCTTCTAAAATTTATATTTTGTCACACTTGCAGATGACGATGATTATGTTCCTGTGATCATAGTTTTTAACGAAATTGTCACGATTGCAGGGAAGTTCCACCTAAAGAAAGGGGGCCGCTTAGGTTATTTTGGCCTAGTCCCGAAAGTACCCTAAATCTAGCATTGGCACTTGGCAGTAAGCCAAGATATACAATCACAACAATCACAAAATCAGTTGCGTGAAAATGGACCGAAACTTGAGAACTGTGATTATGCACTAGATTATGGTAAAGCAATAGGGCTGCCAAAATGCGTAGTTCAAATTAATAATATTTAACAAGGTCACACTTTATTGCTTTTCCAATTGTAATCATATCAAGTTTTAAGGTTTTCTAAGCTAACTTAAAAATCAATTGTTGCTTGGTAAGGAAATTTCTGTGTCAAAAATCAGGAAAGAAACAAATATCCTGTCCTTAACTAAAAGTAAAACTCTGTCCATCCCTAAGACAAGCATAATGTTAAACTCGATGAAAACCGTAGTTAAAAAGAACATTTTAAAAATTAGAGTTACTTTGATTAATTGTTTTTATTGTTTGAATGTTTTGAAGAAGTGAAAAAATAACACATTTTAGAACTATAACACGGGTCACAACAATAGACAATAGACAATAGACAATAGACAAATAATCTTTATTTACACATTCATTAAGAATAGTAGTAGCGTCAATTTACAATTTTTTCTAAATGTTTGGTTGAGGTGTTGTTTAGTCAAAGACCTGTTGACGGTATTCTTCTAAGGAATAGAAAGGTCGATTAATGAGCCATTGATGCAAAGCTGGTTTGAGGTCATCTTCTGACTTGCTTCTTAGATCTGGAGGTAGCCTGTTGTAGATTTTCATTCCTGCGTATGAAGGTTTCTTTTCAAACTGTGTCGTGCGATGTTGTGGAAGGTTGTACTGCATGGTGTTTCTCAGGTTGTGTTGGTGCATTTCGCCACGCCTTGTAGGGTAGACATTTTGAACATTTTGAACAAAGCAACCTTTCTTCTTTTGTTAACCCACCAAGTTGAAATGTTATAGCAGTATGTATACAAATTGGTTATACAGTATAATAATTGTACATTAGTTATGAATATTACAATGTAGGTTTTCTTGGCAGCATACTTTTATCTGAAGATCTTAATCCATAAGTGGTGAATTAGCAATATTTTACCTATAGTATCTTTTTTTGTATTTTATATTTTTAACTGTTAATAATAATTTTTCCTTTTTTCAGAACTATTCATGGATTAATATACAATGCATTGAAACTGTTCATGGAAATGAATCAGAAACTTTTCGATGAATGTACTCAACAGTACAAACAAGAAAGGCAAAAGTAAGTATGAAAGAGGAAAATATTTTAAGATTGTTTTTACTTAATTGACATAAAAATGCATCATAATCTAACCAAGTAGAGAAATAAAACCGAATATCAGGGTTATTGATCGACTTTGTGGTACTCTCACTTAAAAATTGTGCATAGCTTTTCTTAGAATATAAATACTTTTTAATAAAGTGATATTCTGGGTAACTTATTACTAGCCATGGATTCTGTAAATAAGTCAATTAGCATAAACTGTGTTGCACATAAAAAAGAACAGGTGATTTTTTCTGACCCTGATGAATAAATTTGACACTACAATGTATGATTTGCCATTTAGTCTGTTGTCAGATTGTAATACAGTAGAACCTTGATAACAAGACTCTCATAGGGATCATAAAATAAGACTTGTTATCAAGGTTGACTTCTTAATGAGGTTTGCAATAATATGTGATTAGGGATATAATAATTTCAAGGGGATTTTAAAATCACCCTTGTTATCAAGGGTGACTTGTTATCGAGGGTCTTCTTATCGAGGTTCTACTGTAGTTTACAGCTGTGTCATTATCTTTGATGTCACTAAGGGTGTCTTCACAAAAATAGTTACGTTTAAGAAATCATCACTTTAGCCTAAAGTACCAGGACGTTGTGATTGTCTCTGTTTGCATTGGCAATTGTACCAAACATGCCACTCTATACTGTAATATGCAAATTTGTAACCAAACACTATTTTTCTGGATCTAAAATTGTAGATATCAACTATTCCACTATCAAACAATAAAATTTAGCTGTAAAATCCACAATTTCTTAAAGCTTAATAAGATGTGAAAACTAACTACTCTCTATGTAATATTTTAATTTATGAATCATGTGAAGTGCTTTTTCTTAGTTTTCTTAAAATTGTGTCCTCATTGACATTTGATTGTTTTACAGAGAGAAAGAGAGACAGAGGGAGAGGGAGGATATGTGGGGCAGAGTTGAACACTTGGCCATGTCCAACCCTGGCTACCAACTACCTCCTAAGCAACAGTATCTGTACAACAACAACAGCAACATAGTCACATCACCTCCCGGCGGAGATGACGATCCTGACATCTCCTACGAGAAACTGGAACAGGAAGCAAGAGAGGTAAGCAAACAACAAATTTTAAATTGGGAAAACTAATATGATAGTATCCACACAACCATGGGACGTGATCAGAATTTTCCCGAGATCGCGGGAGACGATGATGATGTTTCTGTTACTGCGGTAATATTTTTTTGCAGGATTTTTCTGTTGCCGCAGGAGTTGATGATGTAGCCTGCAAGACCACGTAAAATGGTCAGAATTTACCCACGACCCCGGAAGACGTCAATAATATCCACACGACCGGCGGTAGCTGTTCATGATTTTGCGCGGTTCCAAAAAAAAAATGATGTTTTTGTTATTGCGGAGGAAATTCAGTATTTTACCGTGACCGTGTGAGACGTTATGAGGATCATCTACATGACCAAGGGAGATGATCAAAATTTTGCCGCCATCACAGGTGAGCCGACCCCTCGCACCGCCCCCAGACGAACAACTATTGGAAGCATGCTCCCATAGTGACCGTGCGAGTGGCCGCCCCACATCCCTAACAAAATTGAAAGGCCGTGGGTGAATATTAAAAACAAAACAAATAGTGAACAAAGCCTATTATAATTCAAAAACAACAAAGTAACAATCAACAATCAACAAGGTAACCATCCAAAGAATTTTTCTATTTTTTACTCTTTTAAGGCTTTCTCAAAAAAATAAATTAATTAGAATTTTAAGTTTACCCTTCTAAACTTACAACTGGTACCAGTAGCAAAATTAGGCCTAACAATGAAAATAATTTAAAAAGATGGTAACTGTAATATATAAACTTTAAATAAATTAACAATAAATACTTCACAATAACTATAAAATAAATAACGGATCATGACTAGTAAGCTAAACCATAATTATTGGGGCTCCTTTTCAAAATTTCAAATTCAGTCCAAAAATTTCAACAAATTTAAAATATGGTAACTTGCGGAACGTGGTCATTAGTCACATCACACTAATGGTGGGCGGCGGTGATCCATCCGGAAGATGGCGTAGGGCGGCAAAGCAGTAGAAAGCAGATGAAGGCTTACTGGTCCCAGGAGCAGGGTAATGAGCAGCCCGAAGACGGAGAAGGAGTAGTATCTCCCTGGGCGAACCTCTCCGGAAGCAGCAACCAGTAAGAGCCTCCCATCTGGGACCTCATCTGACGACTGGCAAAACACTTAAACCATGTTCAAAATTCGCTGGCGTGGAAAATAAAGCAATTGTCTGAAGTAAAATATTTTGCCTTCAGAAAACGACAAAGTTTGACAGGTTAAATTGACAGTCGCTCGCCTTCTGCCGAAAATGTGCTCGGCAGCGGAAAAATTGCCCCGGGGTCTGCAGGACTGCTGCCAGACCCAAACCGATTGAGTTCCGGCGCAAAGCCAGCACTCGCACTATAAAAAAAACTGAGGCGTGACATTGGTGGGACGCTTGGTGGACAAGTCACGGCTCAACCTCCCCCCCCAAAGGAGGACTTCCTCTCCAAAAAAAAAAGAAAAACAACCTCTCCCAATTCTAGAAGATCTCAACACCACAGATCAACTCAAGTGTCTGAAGTGGGGAACGCCAAAGGTCTTTCAACTGGAGGGACTACTCACCCCCAGGGTTTGCACTGGCCAGTGCTGGAAAATTTACTAGGGAAAAATCTTCAGCAGCGCACAAGGGACAGAAGAGGTGATCAAGCTCTCTGGCCCAGTGCACTTCCCACTCAGACACAAGAGTAATGAAAGATGACCTACGGAATTGTTCCCCGGAAAGGCTTCAGATGAGAAATGTGAGCCCTCCGGAAAACTTCTCCAGTCTGCGGATCTCCCAGCCGCACGGAGACAGGAGTCAAGAACTTCAAGATGCGGTGGGGACCTGACCACCGATGAGACAACTTAGCGGCTCTCTTGTCCACGGCCGAACTGACCGGATGAGCCTTGCAGAAAACCAAATCTCCCACCTGGAAAGGATTGTCCAACCGACCTCGATTGTGCTTCCTCCGGACCAATTCCCTAGCTCTGATCAAGTTCCTCCTAGCCGCCTGCCAAGTTGCCTTGACATTGGCCGCACCAGGGGGTGGCAGAAGGTCGCCAATTTTCCACACATTTGCCAAGGGATTATTGGGTGGATAGCCCAACAACAGCTCGAAAGGGACCGCCTTGTGACTCTCATGGTGTGCAGTGTTGAAAGCAAACTGAATCCAAGGAAGTTCCTGATCCCAGGTGGTCTGCTTGTCAGCATGAAAAGCTATGAGAGCGGATCGAAGATTTCTGTTGAACCTCTCAGCATGGGAAGGCTGTGGATAGTAAGGAGAAGTGGTCACATGGCGGATACCGTGCCCAAAGCACATTCTTTTGAAAAGGTGAGACACGAACTGAGTTCCGTTGTCGGAAACAATGGTGGCGGGTATTCCAAAGTGTTGGAACAAATGGGTACGAAGTGCCTGCACGGTGAGCTGTGCAGTGGCGTTCCTCAAAGGAAAAAGCCAACAAAACTTGGAGAAGGCATCCACACAAACAAGCAAGAATTTGTTTCCTGACTTGCTACGTGGGAGAGGCCCTACATAGTCTATGAAAACCTTCTCCAAAGGTCTCTCCGCCACCTCAGATGACAACAACCCATACTTGGTATTCTGAGCAGGCTTGCTTAGCGAGCATGTTTGACAAGAACGTACTCGTGCCGCAATGTCCCTGTCCATACCCTTCCAGATGAACATGTCCCTAACCTTTGCAATGGTCTTGTGAATCCCTAAGTGCCCACCCACAGGGGAAGAGTGAAAGTACGCAAAGACCATGGGTACAAGAAGACTAGGCAGCACAACCTTAGGTTTACCTCGCTGTCGGTCTCGACAACAAAGGGCACCCTGGGACAGAAAATACGGGGGGTGGGCTCCCCCATTTTGAAGCTCACCAATGATCTTAGCCAGCTCGGGATCTTTTAGCTGATGTGGGATAAACTCAGAAAAGGCAAGGGGAAACTCCAGGAGCACGGCACACCCTGTGTGCTCCTCCTGATCAGAAGGTTGGTCGTCAGGTGAATGATACATCCTGGATAAAGTGTCAGCAATCACATTCTGCGTGCCTCGAACATGTTGCACTTGGAATTTGAGGGAAGATATTTGGACCACCCAACGACCAATTTTCCCAAGCTGGCGAGGATGTGCAAGGAGCCACGAGAGCGCTTGGTTGTCGGTTTCCAACAAAAACTCTTTGTGTTCCAAAAAACGTCTGAACTTATTCACTCCAAACACGACAGCCAAACACTCTAACTCATACACAGAAGAGCTTTTCTTTTCGCATGGGTTCAAAGTGCGTGAGGCATACGCAATTGGCTGCCTAACACCATCTACCTCTTGAGACAACACAGCCGCAATGGCAACGGAGGAAGCATCGGTTTGCAAAACAAACTTTTGACTGAAATCTGGCATCGCCAAAACTGGAGGTTGCATGATAGCTTCTTTCAGAAGATCAAAAGACATCTGTTGTGCTTCACCCCAAACAAACTTGGCGCCCTTCTTCCGAAGCTCATTGAGAGGAGCCGCCAACTCAGCCACATTGGGGATGAAGCGCCGGTAGAAACCCACCATGCCAATGAAACGGGCAATGCCTTTGACATCTCGGGGAGGAGGAAACTCCCTGATAGCCTGGGTTCTAGCCGGATCGATACAGACACCTCGAGATGATACTAGATGACCTAGGAAAGAAATCTCAGCCTGAGCAAAACTAACTTTCTCGGGATTTACGGTAAGGCCAGCCCTAAGCAACCTATTCATGACTTCCTCAAGATGAACCAGATGGTCTTCAAAGCTCTCACTGTACACCAAAAGATCGTCAAGATAGTTGAACACAAATTTGAACTTGACGTCATGAAAGATGGAGTCCAGAAGTCTGGTGAGGGTCTGGGCCCCCACAGCTAGGCCCATGGGAACACGTGTGAACTGGTACAAGTTCCACGGAACGCAGAAGGCAGTGAGAGGTCGAGATTCAGGTTTCAAGGGAATCTGATGGTAAGCCTGGTTCAAATCAAAGACGGAAAAATACTTGGCCTTACCGAACCAATCGAACGCAGAGTGCAAATCAGGGAGAGGGACAGAGTCAATTTCAATCTGAGCATTCAACTTGCGATAATCTAGAACCATTCGAGACTTGCCATTTGGCTTTGGAACTAGAAAAGCTGGACTAGCGTAACTTGAGCGAGAAGGCTCAATTACCCCATTTTCAAGAAGCTCATTGATGATTCCACGGAGTGTCTCCATTTTGGGTGGAGCAAGTTTGTAAGGATGAGAACGAACTGGACGGGTGTCAGTCAAACGGATTTCGTACTCCAAAAGATTGGTGACTCCAAGTTTTGGCGTCAGCACCTCAGGAAAACGAGAACACAATGTTCTGATTGCTTCAGCCTCACCAGGAGTCAGATGCCCTAAAGGATCAACTTTTGGTTTGCTGGGTGTCTCAGGCTCTACCACAGCTGCACCATCCACAATTTCATCTGCGAAAGGAATGAGCACCCGTCTTGCGAAACGAAAGAAGCACTGGCCTCTGCCTAAATCCAAAATCAGGCCACAATGCTTGATGAAATCCGCTCCCAAAATGACAGGAATGCAAAGGTCCTTGGCTACCCAAAAACTCCAAACCCAAGAAAAATGTTCAATCTTGAATTTCAAACGGGCTTCATAGATGATGGGAAGTGGGGATTTCGATGCAGTCCAGCAGATGTGTGTACTTCGCTCAACTTGCTTGATTAGCCCAGAAGATTTTAGATTTTCAAACAGGGACAGGGAAATGAGACAACGGGCTGACCCAGAATCCACAAGGGCCTTCTGCACCGTTTTACCTAAGAAGATGTTGAGTCGGGGGCAAGTTGAGCGCACCGCTTTCACTCCCATGCATGCAAGCTCCCTCATTCCCCGCGACAGAGGCTCCCCAAAACCAGCACTCCCAGAAGGGGCAGTACTCACAGAAACCAAATTCTTACTGACTTTCTCCAAAACAGCTTTCTCACAGGGCGGTTTAGGCAAACTTTCCCCTTGCGAGCTACTCAGGTTTTTGGAC